GGCTTAAGTTAAGCTTAAATAAGCAATTAGCTGTTGGAATTACTAAATACCTTACTAATTAGTTCGAAATTAGACCAAAAAACAAAAATTTCAAACTGGTTTTTCTTGACACTAAAAAATTAAAACGCACCCAAATTCAAAGTCCCCCCCCCCTCATTTTCAATGGTCGGAACGGAACAATAACGAGTGCTTTTAGCTGACGTCTGCCCGCATCTAGTGACTATGCCTACTGTTGATTGGTGCTCAGTCTCAGAGAAATGTGTGTAATTCCACGTACAGCCGAAAATTTATCTCTTCGTCTGCGTGCAATCCAAGAGGAATCCAGCATTATTTGGACAAATACCACACGAAACTTTATAAACTCTCTTCAATAAAGGACCCGTACCAAAATTTCATGGATAAAAATCGATTATAATCGATTAATAATAGAATAAAAATGTTGTCTAAAATACTGTCATAGTAATCTAGTAGATTTGGATTTTAAGACCATGAAAGCGAGTATATTGTCATTATAATTGACTTTTTTTGTAAAAACTCATTCCAACAAAATCCATTTGATGGATAAGAATCCATTTAAAAACCATTAAAATTGATCATAATGGATTTTGTTCTCTAGGTTTTTTGCAAAATAATTCGTAAAACTTTCAAAAATTTCTGCTATACCCACGGCTTGCTCGAATTCTAAATTTACACAGTTTTTTTAGCTTTTGTTCAATCCGTCTACCACTCATTTTCTACGTACAGGTATTTCTCCCCTTCGCCCCTTCATCCACCCAGTTTGTTCTTCCCCATGTTTACCCCCCCCCCCCCCCCACACACACATTATCCCCCCCCCCCCACACACACATTATCCCCCCCCCTAGTTTCTCCACCACCCCAAAAATACACCACTCCCCCAATTTACCCCCCCCCCCCCCAGTTTACCTGTAACATGTTTACCTAAATGTGTAACGAGCCAAAAGCAAATGTTAAGCTTTGAATATACTGTACTGTGTTGAAATGTTCAGAAAATATATAAAGATCGAATTATAATCCATTATGATTGACTAATACTCGAAATAATTGATTAAAATTGATCTAAATAGATTTTATTGATTAAAGTCGGTAACCCGGTACAATCGATTATTACATATGAAAATTCAGTGCGGGAAGATACATATAATAAATTAGTTTCCAAGTACATGCAAAACAATTACACTTGAGAGAAAGTCAAAGGCATTTAGCCTGTCGAGTGACGCCTCAAGAGCAAAGATAATTATGTTAATCAATAAATCATAAAATCTAAAGTTTATCACGCAAAAATGCTTGTCCAAATTCAAAAAAATTAAAAAGCCCGCAAAAACTTTTGTATATCTACTGAGTTGGTTGCAGAAAGCGACAAAGAAAACACTCACCACTTACCAGAACAATTCCAAAAAATCTTTGTTATCTTTTTATAAAGATCGCGAAACTGAAGCAACATTTTTCCAAAATTTTTTGGATCGTTGATGTCCTTATGTCCACTAAATTGATTTATCAAATTGTATTAAAAAGCTTAAAATTTTTTTGATTCTGAAACTAATTGTGCTGTTTTGATAGATATCAGTTTTTCTCTTCGACTTTGACCCTCTGTTCCTAATAGTTCCTAACAAGCAAGGCTCATGCTCATCCTGTGTATACAGTCGCAAACGCTGCCTATAGTGTGTTGTTTTCTCAATAATTTTGCTAACGTTTTCATTAGTTCATATATGTGAATTTTTCTACAAGTAAATATTTTGCATTTGTTTTTCACTATTAGTAGATTGTCCGTTTTTGGTAGGTTAAAAAAAACTTTGTTCTGCAAAATTTCAACACTTGTAAAATCAATTTTATTTGCCAGAACATATAATAGCACTTCATTTTGTAACACTGGTTGAATGTAAGCATTACATCATTTTAAAAAAGATGTCTGACTCAAAAACAGTTTTTGGTGAGTAATTTTGCCTGTGTGTGATGACAATCGATTTATCAAGTGATTATTATATTGTTTGTATTTGAGAGTTTTGTCTAATTTAACCTCTAGATATTTCATTTTTTTTGTTAGTTCTAATGCTTTATTGTTCAAATTGATTTTATAGTTTATTTTTGGCTTGAATTGGAGAACTTTACTTTTACTTTCATTTGCTGTAAGCTAATTTCTTTATACATTAAATTCCTGTCGATCGCAGCATTTGGGGTTTTCCTTGATAAATTTTCTCTGATGTTCTCAATAGCTCGTTCAGTCAAGGGCGGATCTATGACTTTAATTTAGAGCGAATTTAAGAAAATTGATCAAAAATTTTGTCGACCAGTTTTAGCGCGGATGGTTCCCACAAAACGCACCAGTGGTTTTTTTGGTTGGACCAATCTGATTTTTAATCACTACGAAAGCATTGTTTAAAAAAATTGTATAGCTAATTACTTTTGCGCCGCATGCAAAATCTTAAAAACAGCACCCAAAAAGTAATACACCAAAAAGTACCAAAAAATACACCAAAAAAACAGAAATACCGTTTTCGGGCTATCGAAACTTTACATCTAAATTTGTTTGGATGGGCTGGCTGAAATGGATTTTGTAATTTAGTAATAAAGAAGCGGGAGCATTTGGGTTGTGAGTTGAATCTCTGAAGAGAAGGGGGCTGGTGGAGCAGGAAAACATTTTCGTTCTTTGAGAAAACATTTTGTCAACAGGAAAAACTGCATTTGGTCAGAAGCGCAACAAATTGCAGAGTCCGAGACCTCAGGGACATGAAAATGCAAACAGAAAAGTTCACTGTGTTTATTGAACTTGATTGTCATGGAGCTCACAAATAAAAAGAAATACCATATAGCATGAAAGAAAAAAAAACAAAGGAACATTTCTGTTTGCAACTTCATATCGCTGATGTCTCGGACTCTGCTGTTTGTTGCGCTTCTGACCAACTGAAGTTTTTCCTGTTGACAAATTGTTTTCTCAAAGAACGAAAATGTTTGTTGTCTAAATCATAATTTGTTTTTTTTTAAAGGAAAAGAATCAAACGTTTATTTTGTAATGCTTCAATCCTACAAAAAAAATATTTTAGTGTACAAATCAAGGGTCTATTGAAAATTACAAATTAACATTCAAATATTTTACTTGATGAAATACTCAACATTTTTCTATTGTTCATTACTAACACAGTAATTGAATGTAAATAATTCTGAGGTTAGTAAGACTATTTTCTAGAACATATCAATTATTTTTATAAGAAAAAGTATGTTGCTTATAAAATTAATACTTGGAAAACAAATCCATTTTTTGGTCGGATATTCTTTTTTCAGTAATTTTGTATAAAAATTGGATGCAAAAAATTTTATTCGAAAAAACAATCAAAATTTTTTTCAAGATCTTTCATTGCCATTATAATGATTTTGATGACATAGACTTTGAACTTAAAAGTGATGTGAAACCAAAAATTTAAATTTTTTTTCTTAAAAACTCCAAAAACTGGCAAAAAACGTTTACAATTGGCATCAACAAGTTTTTTAACAGCACTAAAACTGTCAATACTTTAAAGCAGTCAACAATTTTGAAATTTACAAGGAAAAAAAATAAGTTTTAAAATAACCCTAAATAACTTTTTTCACAACTGTTTTGATGAAAAATATTACCTGGCATATAGAACAGTGCCAAGCCTAACAAATTCTTAAAAGCAGCAGAAAAATAAATTGCGAAAATTACTGTCTTCTATGCTGTCGGATCCTTTGAACTCTTTCACACTCTTTTACTTCCACTATGATTAAATTGACTAGACTTTTCGTATTTGCTAATCATAACTGACAGAAAAAACGCAAATAGCTCTAATAACATGTAAAATGCTATGGAAAATTATAGCGAGATAGCAAGAAATGTGAAAGTGCCTTATTTTTTAGCCGGTCTTACGCTTCACAGTTAACTTTCCCTGTTCTACACAGCCCTCCTATAAACTTAATAAAACAGCTCGTATATTAGAATAATTTTTAGGAAATTTTTTTTTGAAAACTATAAATTTTGGACAATATAAATAATCAAGGTTGAAAATTTGAGTCGCACGAAATTAATACGACCGATAAGTTAGTCTAATTTTTTTGGAAAGATTTTGTTGTTAGTGATAATTCGCCACGCATAAATAAAATCGCGATACGCTTTCTGCATTATGAATAAAATCATCAAAACCCGCATAAGTTAGATTGGAGGTAAGTTATAAATTTCGTCATTTGGTTTCAGAGAGTCAATTTTTTTAACAGGATTAAAAACTTTTTTGTTACAAATTATCATTTGGATCGCCGACCGAAAATTGACTGAATAAAAAACGCACCACAAGCATAAATGTTCCGTTTTCTTCGAAAGTCGGAACAATTAAGCTCAACTCCATCTCATAAGCATCGCGTTGACTCTTTTTCACTCCCACCCCCACATCCAAATTTCATAATTGAAAGACTATTTAAACGTTGTCATAATGCAATGAAATTTGGCGATGAATAAACTAACCATTGTGAACAAGTGTGTTCTTCATACCTTGAAATTTAGCATCACGCATTTAGCCATCATATCACGTTCAACATTTATAAAAAATAGGAGTTTTGGTTGGGAAAAAGGAAAAGAGCTATCAAATTTTTTAGAATATTGAGGGGTCTTACAAGATTAAATATGAAAACCAAATATGTTTGTCATTGCGCAATATTTTCTTAGTGGCTAATCTTTTCAACAATCGGACAATGCGGAAACTTGTAAATTTATCGCTAGACAATAAGCTAAAACTTATGTTATCGAGAATGTCTATTTTTCTTATTTTTCTGCTTCGGGGGAGTATGAAAGAAATATTGTTTAATTTTGGTGATAAAAAAAGGTTAGAGCCAAAATGGATGAAAAAACGAGTCCAAAATATGCAGTGCTTAAGAGCCCCTGAGTTTTTGACCCGAAGAAACGGAGAATTTGCGCAAGCAATTGCACAAAACCGTTTGGTTTTTCTGTCATAAATAAAACATTGTTGGTCAGTATGTTATACACGTGCGTTTTTCCAAAAACAGAAAGCACGATATTTGAAAATCAAGAGAAAATAACAATCAACCAAGACTTACGAGCGAATTCATTTTTCAAACGCATTTTTATCATCAAACGTAATTTTATAAACTGAAGAATGGTAAAGACAATTTAGTTGTTCTGTTTATAGTTGAACATATATTATAACTTGAAAACTTATGAAGGATGACGGTACAACCTGGTTCTAATAATGGGGTGGCGACTTCCAAGAAATCATCCATACACTCGACCACACCTGTGTCAAATGAGATTGGGATAGATTATTCGTTCAGAGAGATAACCTCAGAAAAACTGCCTGGTTAGTATTACTTTGAGATAACATTTATATGATCCAAACAAGTGGGTTCAGTAAAATAAAGCTCGGCTCTTTTTCCTTTCCCAAAGTGAAATTTCTGTTCACTTTGTCCGATTGTCATGAAAATTGACATGCAGACTGATTAGGCCATAACAAACATATTTGGTTTTCATAATTAACCTTTTAAAACCACTAGTTAGACCATAAAATGTTTGTGTGAGGTGGGGGGGGGGGGAGGAAAAAGAGCCTAATGCACTTCATGTTTTTCAATCCTCGCCCTACCCTAATTCCAAGCAGCGACAACTACTTAAAAAACATACAACTAATTAAGTCAGCTATGGTGAAATAGATAAGCCTCCGCCTCTCACTCGAAAGGTCCGTGCCTCGTTGCTTGAGTTGAGATAAAAATAGTTTTTACTCTGGATAGAAAAACAACAAAAATTAGCATGAAAATCTTTTTCAGGGGCACGGCAAAGCTTCCTTGTTAAAAGAGTTTAAAAAATTGTCTGTTTATATTTGTTCTTTCCCTCGTGGATCAATTGTGTTAAATTAAAAATATAGACTCCATGTAGGTTTTTTATCGTCCCCCCTTAAACTCTTCAAGTGCCCATTTCTCGTGAAAATTGACATTTGATTGAATTATTCTATGTCAGAAACAGTTTGGCTTCATGTATTATCTAGTAAAATTAATGATGACAGCACCGAATTATTCTATCATTATTTTATCTGGCGAGGGTAAAAGACTGAAGGTGGTAATGAGAAAAAGTTTAAATGTTTGTGTTAAAGGCGGCGTGATTGTTTTTTTTTCGGCTCTTTTCCAATTACCCCCCCCCCCTTTGACTTTTTCTGAAATTCAATATATACAAGTCAATTTAAAATGACTTTTCATGTTGGAAACTGCATCAAAACGTGTCAGCGTGAACAGGTGAACAGTTTTTTCAACATTTCGTTACATACAAATGTCATGTGAACAATTTTTGAACAGCTTTTTTGTAATTTTACTAAGGGGGGGGGGATGGGTGGGTGGGAAACTAGAAAAGAGCCTTTTTTCGGCACATTTTGAAAAATCTTGTATAATTAACGACTTATTATTTGTTAATTTGTACTAAATTGTTCGCTTGTGTTTGTTTTCCCTGTTTTCTAAAAAGCTTATATTAATATGTCGAAGCCAACTGTCTGGCTTTTCTATATCGCAGACAGGGGCGGATCTAAGATTTTTTCGAGAGGAAGGGGGCAGATTTCAAAAAAAAATCATCAATGATTGGAGCCAATAAAATACCAATTAATGCCCCCCCCCCTTAATCCGCCCCTGATGGCAGATATCTGTAAAATTACATTTAGCATTAATTTATTTTGTTATTTTCCAAAAAAAGTTTAAAAATATCTGCATATTTATTAAGAACTCGCTACCAAGTTCGTGCCTCGCTCTGGTCCCAAACCCAAAACAAACAACAACAACAACAGTAGTGACAACAAGGAGGGGGAGGAGGAGAAGAAAGTGGCTGTGAAAGCGGTGAAGCTGAACAACAACCAGCTCACTGACGTGGGGGGACTGTTCAGTGCACTGTCTGCAGTAGTCCTGCAGCCCTCTGGTCTCACCAAACTTGACCTCTCCTTCAACGCCATCCGAAAGATACCTTCTGTTAGTCTAGAACTAACTCTTTTTCCCATCCCCTACCTCACATTAGTATCAATTTGGTGGTGTAATCAGGAGTTTTACAAGGTTAAATTTGAAGACTAAATATGTTGGGCTCTTTCTCCTCCCACCCCCCCCCCCCCCGCCTGCTAATTTCTTAGAGTAATTTTTCTGTTCACCTTATCGGATTTCGGATTGTTACAAAATTTGACATTCAGACTAATTGTGCCGTAAAAACATATTTGGTCTTCATACGCAACCTTGCAATGTGAGGTGGTGGTGGGGGGGGGGGGGGGTAGAGGAAAACATGTTTTCATAGTTTAACAAGTCAGTGCATCAGTTTTCATAAAAATTGGACAATGTGAATAAAAGTTCTACTTAAAAATGCAGGGGCAGGGAGACACATATAGCATACATTTTCAATTTTCAGCCGTTTGTACGTTTTTTACGTTAAACTATTTATTCTTCCAAAAACTGAAATTTTTGGCTCTTCCACAGAAATGGCATGAGTTTTTCAAAAGTGCGAGTGTTGCAATGCAAATGTAGAATAAAAAAAGTATAGATGCATATAAAATAAGCTCAGTTGGCCGAGTGGCCTAAGCTACCATAACGCCGATTATATAGGTTAACAGTTGACGTAGGTTCGAGTCCCCCACCTGCCCATGTATTAATATACTAAAAACGGGGGTTACATCCTATTTTAACTGTTTTTTGGTTCTAATTCGGTTCAGCCTTGATTAAGGCTGACCGCCAAAAAGAGCAATTTGTCTCAAGGACATTACCGACCGGTTCTTGTGGCTAGCTTGCGCGAAATTATCTCAAAACGAGTTGTACCGAAACAAGTTGATTTTGTGATCTTGATTATGCAAACCGTTGACATTGCTCATTTCTTGTTATGTGTGTTTACCGAAAAATACTCATAATTTAATTTGTCTTATACAGTTTTTTCAGATTGAGCGCACATTTTGGCGGCCTCAGTGGCAATCATAGTTTCCGGCAATGTTCTAGAGCAAAAAAGAGCCCGAAGCCAGAGTGTGATAGCACACATAATGTCTTGCTCCATGGAGCCGAAAGAATATTTCCTCGGAAGGAAAATTCGAAGGTCTCGAATAAGGCTGGAATAAACAAATCCAAGGAGAATACAAACACTTCCACCCATGCCGCTGTTAGTGATGTACATGACATTGAATCTTCTAAAGGGTTGTTGCCAATTGCAACACTTGGTGTATCCTCGGATGTAACCAGTCTCCTGACGTTGGTTCTTTGTGATAGTGCATCGACTCACTCCTGGGTATCTTCGTCACTCGTAAACCGTCTCGGCTTAGTAGGGGAGCCCGTAAACTTGTCAATTAGTGGTTTCAATTCGACCACCCTTGTTGAGACTCAGAGGGTCAAGTTTACAGTTTCCTCCGAGCCGAATAATAGTGATTTCGTATTTTCTCTCTGTGCATATGTTAAAGACAGTATTCGGATTGGTTCCGAATTAATCAACATTGCTGATTTGCAGAATAAATATCCACAATTAGCACCTATTAAGCCCATTCAATATACTTATGAGGACGTTGAAGTTATTATCGGACAAGACTACTACCACGCCGTTAGACCCATTGAATTCATCTTGGGAGATGATAAAAACTCACCGTGTTCCGTTCGCCTACCGATAGGTTGGGTCTTAAGTGGTCCGTTGCCGCCGTCCGGTAATTCTACTTCTTCGTGTTTCAAGTGTGTTGTTGAAGATTCTTCTCTGACCGACCAGATAAAATCCTGGTACGAGTTGGAATCGTATGGGGCTTTCAAACAAGTCGATGCCCGTTCCGCCGCGGATAAACATGCTTTATCCATCCTCAATTCTGAAACCGTTCACAATGGCGAAAGATACATTGTGCCTATGCTTTGGATTGATAGTAATGTCAGTCTACCAAACAATTATTACTCGTCACTCGCCCAATTTAAATCATTGGAGAGAAGGTTAAGTAAAGACCCTGAGCTGCGCGAAAGATACGCAGAAACAATTAGAGAGGACATTAGGAAAGGCTATGTCGTTACCGTCGAACCGCATGATCCACGTAAGCGTTCCGATCGCGAGTGGTATCTTCCGCACCATCCCGTCGTAAATCCGAATAAGCCGGGTAAGGTGCGCCGAGTCCTTAATGGGGCTTCTAAGTTTCACGGCACATCCTTAAATAAGTCCTTATTGGTGGGTCCTGACCTACTCCAAAATTTAATTTTGGTGCTTTTGCGATTCCGTCAACATAAGTACGCCGTCTCCTCGGATATAGAGGGTATGTTCCTCCAGGTAGGAGTCCTTGCCCGCGATCAAATTTCGCTCCGTTTTTTGTGGCGGGAGGATACCACTTCCGATGTGGTAGTTCATCAGTACACTCGCCATATATTCGGCGCACGGGATTCGCCTACGTGCGCCAATTTCGCGTTGCGAAAAACAGCAACTGATAATATGTCCACATACCCTGAGGCCGCCTCAGTCGTAAATGAAAAATTTTACATGGACGTTTATTTGGATTCATTCGAGAACGTTACTCAAGCAATTAAAACTAGTCGCGATTTGGTTTCCTTACTAAAATTGGGAGGATTTAATTTTACTAAATTTGTCAGTAATGCTGATGAAATCACTTCAGCAATGAACCCCGAGGAATCCGAAACCTCATCTTCACCCATCAAGGAAATTTGTAACGGTGCCAAACAATCATCACACGTCTTAGGTCTTAAGTGGGACCATGTGAAAGACACATTGGTTGTTAGCAGAGGCGTGGATCGTCCTCTCGATAAAGCAATAACTCAACGAACCGTCTTGAGTTTCGTCTCTTCTGTGTTTGACCCTGTTGGGTTAGTAGCTCCATACACAGTTAGGGCCCGTCTTTTACTTAAAGATATTTGGAAAATCAGTGGTCAAAGTTGGGACGACGAATTGCCAGAAGACATAAGAGATAAGTTTCTCGAGTGGCACTCCGGTCTCCCTCTCTTAGGGCAATTGACTATTCCCCGTTGTTACTTCACAGAGCTTGTTGATCAAATTGAGCTCCACATGTTCGGTGATAGCTCGCAGGACGTTTTCTGTGCTGTTGGATTTTTGCGTGCGCGACTCGCGAGCTCGCATAAAACTCAAATATCCTTCATCTTTGGTAAAGCTCGCGTTGCCCCCATGAAAGCGCTATCTATACCGAAGCTAGAGCTTCAAGCTGCTCTGCTCGCCACACGACTAAAAGATGATATACTGACCGCCCTTACCGTCTCTATTAATCATGTCTTTATGTGGACAGATAGTACAACAGTTTTGCAGTGGCTAAACTCCACTGAAAAATTACCTGTATTCGTCGCTAATCGTGTCGGCGAAATCCTCGAGTCGACCACTATTGATGAGTGGCACCATGTTCTGAGCGGCGATAATCCAGCTGATACCGGTACGCGGGGGATTTCTTCGGAAGCCCTCAAGGATAGCAGCTGGGTTATTGGTCCGAGCATTCTCAGGACTACTGATTGGCCGTTTATACCCGACGAACGTGTAATCAATAAAATTCGTTTGAAGGGTCCTTCTTGTGATGTTGATAATTGCTTGGAGACATCATCTTCCTTCGTCACCGATGTCACATCAATCAAACATCCCGAACACGGGTTCAATTGGGAAAGGTTCAGTTCCTTTACAAGATATAAACGAGTAGTCGCTTTTATGTTGAGGGTGTTGCCTTCACATAAGCATTTTCGTGGTAAAGACTTACGAATCACCGACCCTACTGAACTTGATATTGCAGAAAGCAAACTGATTCATCTTGCTCAGATGGAATCCTTTCCCGTTGAGTTAAAAACACTCACCGCTGGCAAACCTATTAAGAATAGTAGTAAAATTGCCACATACTCGCCATTTATCGGTCCCGCTGGAATCATTCGTTCCACTGGACGGATTGTGCGCTTAGTGGATACCGAGTTTGATACTAAGCACCCAATAATACTCGACGCCCGACATACCTTAGTTCGTTTGTTGGCCCGCAGCCTCCACCATAAGCATTTTCATCAAGGATTAGATTACATGCGCTCCGTTTTAAATATGAAATATGCAATACTTGGGTTGCGTCGACTACTTCGGTCTATCGAAAATCAATGTGTGACATGCCGTAAACGCAAAGCAAGCACCATCCAGCCAATTATGTCCGATTTACCGGTCGAGCGTCTCGGATACAAGCAACCACCCTTCAATCATACGGGTGTGGATTACTTTGGACCGCTTTACGTTCCGGTTTGCAGAAGCACGGAAAAAAGATGGGGATTTCTTTTTACTTGCCTCACCACCAGGGCTGTACACCTTGAGATTGTACCGTCTCTGGACACCAGTTCGTGTGTCATGGGCATTGAACGGTTCGTTGCGCGCCGTGGTACGCCTAGCACAATCTGGTCGCATAATGGCACGAACTTCGTTGGCGCGGAAAAGGAATTACTTGCCTGCATCAAGAGCTGGAATGGCATGGCTCCGACCATTTTTGCACACAAAGGTGTTACTTGGAAATTTAACCCGCCAGGCGCACCTCATCATGGCGGCTCCTGGGAACGCCTCGTCCGAAGCGTGAAGCGCGTGCTGTACGATATCCTAGACAGTAGGCGAGTCACTGAAGAGGTGTTAGGAACAACACTCTGCTTAGTTGAACAGGCTTTGAATTCGAGGCCAATCACTCCCGTTAATACCGATTCACGTGAGTTAGAAGCGTTAACCCCAAACCATTTTTTGCTTGGACAACATGCCACAAGCTTTCCTTCGCTTTTACCCGGGGAGCACTTCGATCACAAGAAAAGGTACGTGCGAGCGCAGTCATATGCTAACGCGATTTGGTCTCGTTGGCTTCGAGAATATGTTCCCTCGCCGAATAAGCGTGTCAAGTGGCACACTCATTCTGACTTCACTCTTAAAACAGGCGATCTCGTGTGGGTGATTGAGCCCGATAGTCCGCGTGGGTACTACCCTCTCGCCCGAATCGTCAAGCTAAACTACGGACAGGACG